AGAACAACACACGTCACCAAGATGGCCGTCACTACTGTCTTGCCAACAAAACGATTGACTACCCTCACTATCACCACAATGAAACACGTCCAGAAGAATGTCATGCAAAGTTGCCTGCCTGCCTGGTCTTTTTAATGTTTAATGTCAACCATTTGTGCAGATAGCAGTAGAAAAGATCGGCGATCGCCGGTGCTAGCGTTAGCATTTCTCCCCCGGGCTTAAATTGTGTATTATAGAATGATCACACCCGCTAGCACCGGCGATCGCCGATCTTTTCTACTGCTATCTGCACAAATGGNATTTAGAAGGTCTTAAAAATGATCGGATTTGAAAGGTACTTCTGTGTTGCGATCGCGTCTAAAATGTGTTTTGGGGAAAATGTCCGGGCTGCAAAGTAACCAGTCCGGTAATAGCCTTTCAGTTCCCCCCCAACAATTTGTAATGAAATAAATCAACATGGAGCCAGTAATCACTGACTTTGTTTCCCCCGGCCCCTTATCCGAGAACACCCAGCTAATAACCTAGCAACCAAGCTTCAGCTAGCGGCAGTCAGAAACTCATGTCTCTTCGAATCTACTTAAAAATAAATATGGGGAAGTGTAAGTTCAACCGTATTTGGTTGGAAAGCATCGAATTTAGTGCTTGGTTGAAACCAGTGGAGGGGAACGTGTTTGAAGCCCGCTGCACCTTTTGCAAAATAAATCAGCGTTTGTTTTGCTAATGTAGCGTTAGCTAGTTTAGCGTTAGCTAGTGCAGCAGCTCCCGCAACAACACCGGGGGACCTCCGGACGACGTTTGGGTCTACGTCAACCCTAAAAGCGGAGGTGCTGTAGACGCTAAATACCGTAGTTAAACACCAATCATACAACAGCAATGATGAAAAATTGTAGCCAAGGCAACACACACACACACGCACATACACACACACACACACACACACACAGACACAGACACACAGACACACACACACACACACACTCACACTAGGGCCGCACGATTATGGCAAAAATCATAATCACGATTATTTTTGGTCAATAATTGATATCACGATTATTAAATACGATTATTCATCGACTTTGAAAACATCCATTTATTGAACTTTAAAACAAATAATAATTTGAACATTATCTTTTTAACTGTTGATTACCCTGAACGTATAATTCAACTGAAAAAGCAATACAAAAATGTATTAAATAAATGATATATATATATATTTTTTAT